CATACGGACAGCCATACAGAAAGGACATGCCACATGTCCTGAGGGAAGGCAAGCCACAGGCAGCGTGTGCATGGGGGCTCTGCTCCACCTGTCCTGGGGCTTGGAGCAACTGGGAATGCAGCCATTAGCAACCTTCAGAATTAGGAACCATAAGAGCCTTATCCTGTTTTACCAACCATAGCAAAGGCCTCCAAAATGGAGCAAAAGCTTTCAGGCATGTGTTTAACACCTCATATAACATGGTGGTGGACTGAAACGAACAACAAATAGTTAAAACATTCTTTTATGAAGTAGAGAAACAGAATATCATTCCATCAGAATATTTGCACTTGAATCTACTTTGGTATGTTGGAGCATAAACACAGAGGAAAAAAAAAACAACCAGTAAAAGGGCTTTCATATGCTGGCACAGAGCTGCTTTAACGAAATACTGATCAAAACACCACTAAATTAAACAGACAAACTGTGATCTTTTATTTTGCCACAATATTGCTCCCAAAGAGTGCTTTAACACATTTGTGTCAGCACCTCTAATCTTCACCTTGTGTTTCAAAGATATGAAGATTAGCCCGTAAAATTAACTTCTGCTGGAGGCTAGACCCGTATAACAAGATGCAAAACAATTTTAAGATGCAGATTTTTCAGGTATTTGATTTTCTGCAGAATTGCTGTGCTAAAAAAGAAAATTCAGAATGATTTTGAACCTTTTGGGGTTAGGTTCCCCCCTCACATACTGAACAGCAACGCAAAGTAGGAGGAATGTTGCTGGAGCTCACAGCTGTGTGAGATTTTAACTGATTCCTGAGCACTACCCTAATCACATCTTTAACTGTTCAGTGAGTACACTTAAAATTAATAATGTCTTTAGCAGCTTTCTGAAGCAAAGCTTAAATCTTTCTGTTCTCAAAATATTTTTAAGAACTAATCAAAAAATTACACAGATCATAAAACTATAAAGGTTAAAAAAAAGGAATGTAGATCTGAACTGAGATAACGCCAAGTATCTTCATAACATTATGGGTAAAAACGGATCTAATGACTTGGACACACAAGCAAATTATGTGGATATAACACATCACAGACAACAGTTGCTCTGTATTAATGACTTATGTGTATATCCAGCTGTAAATGTGATACAGACTTCTTTTCAGAGGTGTGGAGTCCTTTGAACACTTTTGAAGTCTCAGGCACTTTAATAAAATCATGTGAGTCTGTGCAGCAGTCCTGCTTGCTTACCTTAAAACTGTTCTTAAATGTCTCTCAAGTATCATTTAAATATCTGTAACAAAGAAGACTGAACAAACGATAGGTGTTATCCTTAATACTATGCTATACACAGTCACTGTTTTCCCATTGGATATCTACCTTAAGACAGTTTTTCTAGGCAAATTTCCTGAGCAGGCTTCTGAAAACTGCCCACATTGTAAGTGTCAAAACTTGTTTAATTGACCATATAGCAAATCTACAGTTTCCTCTTTATACACTAAATCTGCTATCTTGTCAAAGAAGGAAATTATATTGCTTCAACATAATTTGCTCCTGATTTTTTTACCAATTTATTATCCTCTAGGTGTTGATAAATTGATTGCTAAGAATGTGTTCTAGTACATTTCTTGGAATCAAGGCTGGGCTCACCTGATAATTTTCTGGATTGTCTTCTTCTTAAAGATAGGTATAACACCTGCCCATACCCACTGTTTCTTTACCTTACATAACCTCTATAAGCTTCTGAAAACAGGCACTAATAGTCCACACGCAGATTCAGTTAGTCCTTTGAACACACTACAGTGAATCTCATCATAGCATTTCCAATAAATTCATTTAGTCAAACACTGGTTAGCCAATTCTTTTATTGCACACCCTCTGGTTAAAATTGATTTTCTTAAATAGCTGATCAACTAGCCACTTTTGCTGATGTAAAAAAAGCCTTTTCTGTATCACTGCTACCTAATCTCCTCTCCTGCTAACTAACAGCAGTATCAAAAATCAGAGGAACTTAGTCTAATGACAATCTTTTTGCTACCTTTTATACTGTTATGTGCTTTAGCCTTTCTGACATCTTGTTAGATGACTCTGCTCTTCTTTTCTACTTACTTCCACTCATGGGGTTTTGATTCCACATTTTGTACAATTCCTCTTCACTTTTCAGGATGTCAAAGAAACTTGATGCTGCCATATTATTCCTTTGTTCAACTTCTTCTGCTTCAGGAGAATTTTCTGCTCTACCTTAAGCACAGTTTTTCTGCACCTCTATTGTCCCTCAAATTTCTTTCCAAGATATCCTACTTACTCGGTGTCCTTTCTGAAATCCATTATCCTATTTCTACTGCTCACAGTCCTTCCTTTTAACAGTGACTATTTTGTAACAACTAAATTTTTAACCAATGTCTTTCTTAGTGCAAATCAAATCTACCATAACCATTTCCCTCTTAACTTTTTTAGTCTTGGGGGTGGACCCTACCCAGCAGCTAAGCATCCACATAGTCACTTTCTCACTCCCCTACCATTGTCCCCTATTGGCATTAAGGAGAGAGGAAAAAAATGAAAAAATCTCATGGGTTGAGATAATTGCGGTGTAATAAGGGAGGGAAGAAAGGAGGGAAAAAAACCCCCAAGTTATGCAAAGGCAATTACTTTCTACCTCCCATAAGCAGTTCAGGCAGTTTCCAAGCAACAGCTGCTTTGGAAAGAAAAACATCACCGTTTTTTATTTCAGAGCATGATGTTATATGAGAGAATACCTGTTTGGCCAATTTGTGTCAGCTGTCTCAGATGTATTCCTTTACAACTTCTTGTCTACCTCAAGTCTTTTAATTGCAAAGGTAGAATAGGAGAAAGAGAATATCATGAGGCTGTACAAACACTGTTCAGTAACAGCCAAAAGACTGGTGTCTTTTAGTAGCAAATCCAAACCACAGAACCATATGGGATCCTATGAAGAAAGTTAACCCCAACCCAGTCAGACACAGTACAGTGTTTTGATCTCCTCGCAGTGCTAATGGATACTGAAATAATAAAAGTTCTTTACTTACATAGAACCTAGAATCATAACATCTAAACTAAACCTTTCCTCTTTTAGTTGAAAACTGTTCCCCCTTGTCCTCTAAGTACTGGAAGGCCATGATGAGGTGTCCCTGGAGTCTTCTCTTCTCCAGTCTGAACAACCCCAGATCTCTCAGCCTGTCTTCGTAGAAGAGGTGCTACAACCCTGGGATCATATTTGTGATCCTCCTCCTCTGGACCTGCTTCAACAGGTCCATGACTTTCTTATTCTTAGTACTCCAGAGCAGTACTCAGGACTCCAGGTGAGGTCTTACGAGGTCAGAGTAGAGGGGGAGAATGAAGATGAGGGGGAAAGTGGAAGGATTATCTTAGGTTCTCAAAAAAGTCTCTCATAATCTTTTAGAGAAATAGCTTGCACTACATCCATGAAAAGACAAAATCTAAGATTTTTTTTCTCTTTAAAGTTCCCTCAGAATTTCCCAGAGGTCTCTCTCTTATCCCTGTCTTGTCTGTAGAACAAGTATTTATGAGAAATAGTTCAGGAGCTCAGAGGTGGAAGTGCATGTAAATGTCAGAAATCACAGAACGTCTTCCAAAATCTTTTGAAATACTGGCAGAGGGACAGAGTAGACCATGGCTACCAGTAACATTTATATAGTTTAGCAGCTTGCAGTTGAGAGTAGTAATAAAACAGGGATTCTCTTCTCAAAAAACAATATTTCTATCACTTCAGCTAAGAGCAGCTATTTAAAACTTCAAATTACTTCTATGTAGCATGGATGCTCAGATCTAAAATGCTCCTGGCTTCCTCATTCTGAGATCCCACCCTTGAATTTTCAGACCAGACCAGGCATGAAAAATCCTGCTCAGTTGTGAATGACTTCAATGTTGGTCTCAGAGCCAGTCTATCTGCATTTCAGCTACAGCAAAAATCAGCCCTATTTCCTCTCATGGATCTGGAGAATAAATGCTGCAGTCCGAAAGGGGAGGATGGGACCACGGCACAGCACGGGTCCGGGGCACGAGGGAGGGTGCAAGTAGAATCCTTTATTCACACGTGCACGCGGTCTTTTATCAGCTCGGGAGGGGAAAGGGCCAGAACATAGGGCGGAGCATGAGACAGACAAGCAGGGGGACAAACCAGGATAGGGACACGGGCAAAAGGGGGAGGAGAGGGGGAAGCAGGGAGCAGGCAAACTCATGGCAAGCCTGGGCATGTCCAGGCTGTGCACTATGTGAATACAATGAAACTACATAATAACAGTAAAGTCCATATAATAACTGTAAGGTCCATATAATAAAATCCTGTCAATTGCTGTATGTTTTTCTTCACGCCTGGAACTGTTTCCATCACAAATAAATTCTGTAGTACTTTTATGAGAAGTGAAGTTTATGGAGCAGAAATACATGTGGGCATGGTAGCCCTAACAATTTGTAAAGCTTCCCTAAGCTTAAATGATTTAGAAAAAAAAAGTGGATGTTTCTTTAAGTTTGTACAAACTCCATGACAAGAGGCACTTAGGAATAGGAGAAAGACACTACCAATGCCCTCCCAAACAGCCACGGAAGAAGTCCTGTCTTGTCAGAACTTGGCTTTCACCCTTGACAGAAAAATCTGTCAACAGTTTTGTTGCTCTGAGATTATTAGTTATTTCAACTGATTGCTGCAAATTAAAAAGTCACAAAAAATGAGGCCATAACCAAGCAATAAAGCATAGGGATTTAAAATTGAAATAGCACTCAATTAAAAACAAAAAAAAAACCAAAAAATTATTCATAGTAATACTAGTAGTGGGAGCATTAATAAACACTTCACAGATCACTGCACCAGTCTTTTTGTCAATAGATTTAGTAAATGACAGATTTAAAATTTTATTGTGCATTTCATTATAATTTTGGTAAATATTGCACAGTAGCACTAGAAGATACAATTCAGACTACCATAATTTTTTTGATAAAAATTGACCTGGAGTAAGTTACAGTGAAATCTCATTTACCTGTAAAGTGCTGAAAGTGGCCGCTTGTTGCCAGGTTTTGGTCTGTATGGTTTTGGTTCTCCTGCCATGTTGATATCTGAAAGCAAGCATTTGATATCAGTAAGTCAAACTTCTGGAAGTTAGAGTGAATTTGCAAAGGCATCTTCAAGTCACTGAAAATGAGTAATAGGCAGTGAAAATGGACAGAGTACTTAAAACACCTGTCTAGTTTTTACCGCTTCTGAATTGATGCTGTAATACCTTCCTAAAAATTCTTACTATAATACATGAGGATTTTAGGCAAAATATCAGTAATTACTGATGGAGAGAAATGACATTTTTAAACATACAAGTTTCCATTCAGGAAGGTGAAGCCAGTACTGTAATTCTATTACAGAAGAATATTTGAATGGTAACTTAGATGTTGAAACAAACTATCATCTCAAGTCAAATTCTGTTGTGGAGGACTGCAATGGTTCTGAAGAGTTCCCTTTTAGGGTCTAGAGAGACGCACACTGATTTTTGACTGCTTCTTCACTGTTCACTTAGAAAGTAACTCTTCAAAAGCAAACAGGAGTGTATCTATTTCCTACCCCAAATGCATCTTTTTTTGGAGAAAAAGATGATCTATTTTTGCAAATACTTTATCTTAGGTAGATACTTCTTGTTCTCAACAAGATCAGAAATCTTGTGAACGCTGTTTATTCATCTTTTAAATGTAAACAGAAATCAAGCTTATATAGACATTACTCCTGTTTGTTCTCAAATTTATCTCTTCATTTGAAGCATACTCAAAGACATACAGGAAATACATGCCCTTTATTATGATTGCTATAACAGTTACACATGGAGAAAGAAGCACAGACTGCTCTGTGGAGAATACCTTCTTGAGCTTAGGAAGCTATTTATATAAACACAAACTTATATTAAATGCTCCTCCACTCTGATTGAATGTTGCAAAGTTGCCATTACAGCAAATCACATGGATAAAGTGAAACTTTTATTAGGAAACAAATTTCATGCAATTTGAGGAATGCTGCAAAGAAATCTCTTCTCACTAATATAAAAAAAGAGCAACAGTCAACAAAATCACTGGAGTTATTCCAGTGTAAAATTGCTGTGACAAAACATCATATCCCATTAAACATGGAATCATGTGGTGATCAAGACTTTCAAGGAAATACAGGTTCTTGGTAAACTCTATGTTTAACCTAAAACTGAGTGTAGTGGAGGGAAAAGAGAAGTAGAAAGCTGAGGTGTAGAATGAGGAAATAACACTGTTCAGTGCAGTAAGGCTAAAAGCTCAAATATTTTTATTTATTATTCTTGACCTCAAAAGATACAGTAAAAGCCTGAGACTTATTGACTGGATACTTTTATTTCCCACAAAGTGAATAAAAAATATCAATCTGACTTTTCTTAACAGTCAGAAATATTGAAAATGTATGTCTTTTGGATTTTTTTTTAACAGAAAATATTTTTCCATTGGAAATTTCATGCTTCAATCATCTAAAAGAACTTAAAAGAATTTTAAACTTGTTTTCCATCTAAATTTGATATTTTGAGTTCAGCCAACATTTATTTAAAATTATACAAGACTGGAAAATAAATACTTTTATCTAGAACCATATCATATAAAATATTTTAGTAAAATTTTCCATATATAAAACATCTTGAAATTAAATCTGATTTCAGTTTCTTTTGTAGGACCTGTATTACTAATAAATACTAATTTTTTTGTAAAATATTTAATTTCTTGTTTTAACTAACTTTCTTAAATTGGACGAACATTGGAGACAGCTTTCATATCTCCTTGAAATGTTTTCCTGCCATTAATTTTAAGCAAGTGCTTTATTAAATATATATTATTTTTGTCTTTAATTTTTGTTAAAAAATAAGCTATGATGCCCTTATTTCAAGAAATATAAATTCTACAATGTTGAATCAACAAAGTAAAGATCAAGCATTTCTGAAAGCCACTGAGGAATTTTGATAGCGGTGTCACATTTCCATTGGCTCTGAAAATAACAGAATTGGAACAAAATTTTTATCCTATGACCTTTATGATAATTAGACCTTTTCACACTGTTTTAATATGTCAGATTTAAGGTCATTGACTGTATTGACTTTCACCATCTCCTACTACAACTAGGACAGATTTTAGGATAGAAAGTAGAATTATGATCTCTTCTTGGGAAATACCTTAGGCTGTGGTATCATCTTCACAATACTATAATATTCGCAATTTTTTCATGTCTCTCCTCTGCTACTGTTTCAGAGCTATATCCCTGGTCACTATTCTAAGGCATATGAACATTAATAGGCTTTAAAAAGTTTTTCATATCCTTCTGGGACAGATCAATACTATCTTGATGATTATTCTTATAGACCTACATTTGCAGCTTTAGAAGACTCACTTTTAAAAAAAAAGGTGAATTGTATAGAAGGCTAAAGGGTGTTTGGTTTGTATTCTCTTTATTTCAATCAAAAATGTCAAAAAGGTAACACTGAAAAACACAGTGGCAAGGCTGTTCAGAATAAGTTAAGATTCCCTCACACTTCAATAAATTTCTAAATGTGCCAGCGAAAACAGTGAACTACTTTATACAGATAGTAATAGCCAAAAATTCTCTTTAACACAGGAAATAGTTCATAGAAAAGCTGTGCACATGGGGCTTTTCTGTTAGTATGAAAGTGATTGAATAGCTCTGTAATTCCCTAAGCACTTTATAGCGAGGCAAGAATGGATGTAGGAAATGCTTTGAAAAGTTAGAACAGATTTTCACCCCATTATTTTTCAGCCCTATCTACTCCAGCCTCAATTTTCTAACTAAGATTAGAAGTGAACTTGTCAACATTTTGCAAGATAGATTATTCCTATTCCAACTGGAAATCTTGTGAGATAACTTGTTCCCTTCCTTCATCCATCATTAGTTTCACAGCAGACATTTACATCTACTAGATCATAAACTGTGTGCCAAATAAATTTGTTGGCTGCAGCACAGAGATTTACCTGTGCTAATGATTCCACCCCATGGAATGCAGAGATGTTAAATTAGATACTGTGCTTGTACATGAATATGTACCAGACAACTTGACAAGATACACAGTCATTCACGTTGCTTCTGGAGAGGCATGGATTTGATGGATTGGGCATCTGATGGATAAGGAACTGGATGATGGTCACACACAAAAAGTAGTATTAAATAGGTAGATTTTCTAAGTGAGGACCACTGATGAGTGGCATTCCTCAGGGATCTGTATTGGGACTGGTGCTATTTAACATCTTTGGTGACACAGACAGTGGGATTGAGTGCACACTCAGCAAGTTTGCCAATGACACCAAGCTGTGCAATGCAGTTGACACACTGGAGGGAAATGATAGCATCCAGAGGGACCTTAATAGGCATGAGAACCTCATGTGAGGACATGTGTAAACCTCAGGTCAAGTGCAAGGTCCCACACCTGGGTCTGGGCAAACCCAAGCATGAATACAGACTGGGCAGAGAATGGATTGAGAACAGGATATGGGGCTGTTGGTGGACGAGAAACTTGATATGACTTGGCAATGTGCTCTTGCAGCCCAGAAAGCCAACCTTATCCTGGGCTGCATCAAAGGCATTGTGGCCAGAAGGTTGAGGGAGGTGATTCTGCCCCTCCACTCTGCTGTTGTGAGACCCCACCTAGAATACTGTGTCCAGCTTTCAGGTCTGCAACAAAGGATGTGGACCTGTTTAAGCAAATCCGGATGAGGGCCAACAAGATGATCAGAAGGCTGGAGTACCTCTCCTATGACGACAGGATGAGAGAGTTGGAGTTGTTCAGCCTGGAGCAGAGAAGTCTTCAGAGATACCTTATAGTGACCTTCCAATACTTGTAGGGAGTCTACAAGAAAGCTGGAGAGGGACTTTCTACAAGAGCATGAAGTGATGGGGTGGGTTATAATGGCTTCAACCTGAGAGTAGGTTTAGATTAGATATGGGAAGGAATTCTTTACTGCGAGCATGGTGAGACACTGAAACAAGTTGCCCAGAGAAACTGTGGCTGTCCCATCCCTGGAAGTTTTCAAGGTCAGGTAGGATGGGGCTTTGAGCAACCTGGTCTAGTGGAAGATGTCCCTGCCCATGGCAGGGGGGTTCGACTAGATGATCTTTAAGGTCCATTCCAGCGGAAACCATTCTATGATATTCTATAATTGCATGATTCTATGTGGGAATGGAGCAGCCCAGGGACTTTCACATTACTTTCTCTGTCGTATACCATAAATGTTCACTTAGACATCCACTTTGAGATAAAATCATCACTGAAATTCAAAATACTAAGGAAACATTATGAGTAGAAAAGTGATTATGCAGAGAACAGCACATTGTAATGTAGTAGGCCGGTCTCTCTGAGCTTTCAGAATCCAATTAGATTACTTTATTAAAAGAAATGTATTTTAAGTTCTATATTTTCCTGTTCTCATAGCTGACTTTAGGTAAAACATTAGATCTAGATTTCATTCAAAGTTGTGTGTCATCAACAGAATACATCTAATTTTAAGCATGGTATTTTTATTTGTAGTTATACTGAAAAGTTCTTAGTAGTTAATGACAAAAAATAAAAACAATTTTAAAAAGAGGGTGAATACCATTATAGAGGGCAGTGATTGTATTCAATGGCTACATAAATTTGTCTGAAAGAGCAACTCCACACAGCATGATCTGCCTTTCTGCTGTCACTGTTTCCTACCATTGACTGCCTACCTCCTCTGGGCAGTCAATGACCAGGGAAACTCTGATGCATGACCACCCCGTTTTTGGAGAAGCAGTATCAGCTAGCCTTGGTGCTTTGCTCACAGATTCCCTGGCAAAGCAACCTGAGAATCTGGTCCTGAAGACAACATCTGACTTTAAACGGGCTTTGTAAGTGCAAGCAATGATACCTAAAGAGCATTCATACCCGACAAGTATTTCAGTATTTCTTGCCACCTGCCCTTCAGATTTTTTTAAAAGGGTTATCTAAAGAAAAAAACAAACCCCAAACCAATCAATTGTTTTGGTTCACAAAAACAAATGTCATAAACAAGAAGCTTCAATAGGCACTAGTTCAACTCAT